GCCAGCCCAGCCGCTTTCTCCGATTGCATTCCCAGAGCGCCTCCCTCCCAGCAGCCGGCACCGAGCAGGAAGGCATGGAGAGCGGGAGAGAGGCCTCCCTTCGGGGGCTCGGAAGCCAAGAGCAGCCTCCCCAGCAGCGCCTGGGCCTGCAGCTCCCCAGCCCCAGCCTGACTCCTGCCCATCTCTGTCCCCACCCTCCGTCCTGTCCTCACCTCCCTCTCCAGCCCTGAGGGATATTTTCCTGTGCAGATGTGCCCTCCACCACCCAAATCTTCCTCCTCACCTCCCACCATGAACCACCCCACCCCATCACATAGTGCCCCATCCCAAACGTGCCCCTGCCCCACACTCCTTTCCCATTGTGCCTGTCTTTGCCCCCCCACACCCTATACCCCCATCCCTTACATCCATCCACTGCAGGGCCCCATCCACCTCATACCTGCCTGTCCCCACACTCCCCACCCAGCAGTGCCCCTGACAGCACACTCATCAATTTGCCCTTCTCCTCACCTGCACTTCTTCCTTCTGGCCCATTTGGAGGCCCCTTCTCCTGGCCTGCCATGGGGCAAGCACTCGTCCTGCCTCATCTTACAGGGCCCAGAGCTTGTGTTTCCCCACCCCCTCCTCCTGGCACCACAATCACCACTCATTACCCAGCTTCACAGTCCCAAATGACCAGCCCAGAGTCCCGCAACTCCCATCTTCACAGACTCTCACCCTGATCAATGAGTTGGACACTGACTTGGTTGGCAGTGCCCTGCACTGCTTCCACACTGCCAGCCTTCTGCCAGCCCCATGCACCACATATCCCCTTTGGTTACCTTTGAAAAAAACAAGGACTCTCCAAATGAAATGCACCACATTTGGCATTGCTGGCACAGCTGGAGGTCCACAGAGCTTGCCAGAGGGGCAGCACCTCTCCAAGCCTCACCCATTCTCTTTCACTATAGGAAGACTGATGCAGCACATAATATCACAAAACTGCTGCTGCCAAGGTAATATAACAATACCAACCATGTGTAATTAATGCTAATATTCACAACTAGCCTTACAAACACTGATGAACTTAATTTCATGATCTCAAAGGGAGAGGGGAGGAGTTAGCAGCCTGGCTAGCAGTGGTTCTCTGGAGACTGGCTCTTGAGCCCCATTTCCAGTATCTTGGCCTGCAAAGCAGCTCCACACTTGTGTGAGCAATGCCTAGCACAGTGGGGCCCCAGTTTCAGCTGTGGTCAACACATTGCTTGGCACAAAGGAGGTGTGCCTGTAGTACCAGTGATATCACTCAGTGCTCACCTGCACTGGTGCTCACATGCAGAACGCTGACAGCAGAGCTCTGGCCCCTCTCCCAACTTGCACTGGGCAGAAGAAGATTCCAGTGCTGCAATCATTGCCCAGCTAAGCCCTGGAAGCTGCACCTCAAACATGTCCTTCAGTGGCTTCCCCACTCCAGCCCTCCCACAGGATAGTCCTCCCTGAGCTCCTCTGGCAGTTGTACCCACCTGTAGAAAGCAGGTCCCAGTGGGGATGTTCTCCTTCAGGGACACATTGTAGAAGTTACTCTTGAACACTGGCTCATTGTCATTGACATCCTGCAGAGCCACATGCACCACAGCTGAGGAAGAGAGGGCAGGGGTTCCCCTGTCCATGGCCAGCACTGTCAGCTGGGGCTGAGGATCCTTCTCATAATCCAGTGGGGCAGCAGTAGTAATGATACCTGTGGCTGGGTCAATGGCAAACCAGCTGGAGTGGGTGTCACGGTCATGTACAATACTGTAACGCACTTCCCCATTAGGACCCTGGTCCTTGTCACGAGCTGTCACCTGCAGTACAAAGCTGCCCGGATACACAACCTCAGGAATGCTCTGTTTGTATTCCTGCTGGTCAAAGAGTGGAGGATTGTCATTAATATCCATCACTTGCAGCACAAAGGCTGATTCTGCCCGGAGCGGTGGTGTTCCTGAGTCAGTGGCTGTCACCCGCAAATCATAGGAGTCTCTTTCTTCCCGATCCAGAAGTTGGTCTACACAGATCAGGTAAATGATGTTGTCCTTGGTAGTAAGGGCAAACTTGCCATCCCCTCCCTCCAGGGTGACATTGACATTGGAGTACTCACCATAGTCTGGGTCTGAAACAGAGATGCGTGCCACATACTGGCCTGGCTGGGCTCCCTCAGAGATCTGAGGAGACCCATCTTCACTGAGGAAGATGATGGTCATGGTGGGCTGGTTGTCATTGTAGTCACGTACATGAATGGTGACAAAGGCTGTGGTGATCTCAGGATGGACAGCCTTATCCCGTGCCTGCACCACTAGCTCATGCACCTTCCTTACTTCGTAGTCTAGACCCTTGTTGAGCTTGATGACTCCAGTCCGGGAGTCAATGGTGAAGTACTGGTCAGGATCGCTCTGCCGACGGTTGATCTCATAAACCACATCCCCATTGTCACCTTCATCTGCATCAGAGGCAAAGACTTGTAGTATGCTACTGCCAGGCTTCAGGTTCTCTGAAATGAGTGTATGATAGCGGCTCTGGTTGAAGGTAGGAGCATTGTCATTTATGTCCTGGATAGACACATCCAGTGTCATCTGAGTGCTCCGAGGAGGAGAGCCACCATCATAGGCTTCCAGCACTAGAGAATATGATGAACGGTTCTCCCTATCCAAGATGTTGCTGACTACCAGGTCCAAATACAGGATCCCATTAGGTCCTCGACGTGTTTCCAGGCGGAAGGCCTGCCCCACATTCTCTCCCTTAATCACATAGCCTTGGGTATTGAGCAGGCCACTGTCAGCATCAAAGGCTGGGTCCAATGGGAACCTACTTCCTATAGGTGTATGCTCTGGGATTTGGAAAGTGCTGTGCTGTTTGGGAAAGGCTGGAGCATGGTCGTTGATGTCATTAACTTGGATGTTCACTTCTACTGTGATGCCCTCTGGGGTAACAGCAATGAAGCTGTATCGGTCTCGGGTTTCTCGGTCCAAGACACGGGCTGTTTTGATGATACCTGTGTTCTCATCTATCTCCAGATCAGTGGTAACACCACTGCCCTCCTGTGCTGAGATAAAATACATGTAGGCAGTGGTGCCAGGAGGCAGGCCAGCACTGATGTCCCCAATGATGGTGCCAGCTGGCTGCTCCTCGTCTATTTGTAGATCCAAGGTGCCCAGGACAGCAGAGCCCTTTCCTGCTCTCAGCCCACTCAGAATTAGCACCTCCAGCAGAATCACGGCTGATCCCTTCATCTGCTCCATTGCTAGTGGCTTGTAGAACAGAAAGTGGTTCAGGCTTCTTTGCAGTGTGTTCTTTAATCCTGCAAAGAATGCAGATCAGAGGAGGATGGTTAAAAGTGAGCAGCAAAGGAAGGACAGAAAAAAAAAAAAAAACATGGGGACAGAAAGCCTGCCAGGTTCCCATTGCCTGATTGCACTGTATCACCTACTCCTCACAAGGAACCAAGGTGAAAGTGGGTTAGAGCAAAGTGTGCCCATAAGGAAAGCCTGGGACAGTAGCACCTAAAGGAGGATGAGTTGAGCACACCTTAATCAGTGAGCTGAGATTACTGGCTGATATAGTACTCTCATAGCCCAATTGTTCTTCTCCATCACTACCCTCACGTCTTAATGCTGCTGGCAGCTCTGGAGCTCGCTGCCCTAGAGCAGAGGGTTCCCATGCCTCTAGTAGCCAAATGTTTCCTGTAAGGCTCAGAGCAGCTGTCTGCAAGACTGCCGAGAGCTTTGAACAAGCAGCAGCCTAGCACCTCTCCACCCTGAAAGAAATTGTCTCAGACTGGGAGTCAGCCCAACAAGTGACACCCGTTGAAACCCCCCAGTAGCATGTCTTTCAGGACCACAGGGATCTAGCTGCCAAAAACATAAGTGGAAATCTGGTTTTCCTGGGAGGGGGCAGCAGAGCTCGAGCAGGCTTACACCCCACGGCCCGTAAATCACAATGTCTCTATTGGTAGCGATGTACCCACAGCTGGGAATACCCAGGCTAAAACCCCACCCTCCCAGGGCTCATTGTTTGGCCTGGCACCGAGATCTGTGGATGCCCCAAGCTGGTACCATGGAGGGTGGTGGCAGGGGAGCAGGAACGCAGCAACTCGCTCTGAACTGCCAGCTGCTTTGGCTCCTTCCTGGTCCCACACCCTCCCTCGCTCACTCTCCTCCTTTGTCTCCTTCTCGCTGCTCCGCTGCTCCGTGCTCCTCCTGGCTCCTTCACTCCATTTCCCCCTGCCGTAGCTTCTTTTCACTGCAGCAGTGGGGGAGGGAGGAGCAGGGAGGAGCAGCTCCCTGCAGCAACACCACCATCGGACATGATGGACACCCTCCCGGGGCCCAAGGGCTGCCAGCCCCAGGGCTCTGCGCACCCTCAGAGCCAGAGCAGCTCAGCAGCCAAGGAGCTTGCAGAACACACCAGCCCCAGCGCTGCTTTTAGCCCCCAGTAAACAAGGCTTAGTGGTCTGCAGGGATGGCGGCAGCATGAGCTCACACTTGGACTCTCTTGAAAGCATTTGCTGCTGGTCCCATAACCACACTCAGGAGCTGCTCATGTCAGACATGGGATGGCAGGAACCTCCCTGTCTTGGAGGGCAGAGATGTCTCCCATTGCCTAGTTTAGGGACTAACAATGGCAGCCCTTGGTCTAAAGAACCCTAGAGCAGCATTAACCCTTTCCGGGAGACATTTCTGGGTTCTGTTTCCCAATTCAGAACAGCTGTTTAGGGTGGACATTGGCCAGTGGAAATCCCAGGTTAGCGACAGGAAGAACAATCCTAAAGAAGTGTTTCCTACATGCAAAGAAATGTTTATTTACTTCCATGAGCTATAGGAACTAGAAGCGTACATACACACCCAGTGCCTGAGGACTAAGGCAAGAAGCTTCTCTCGCTATTCCTACACCAAGCACACCTGAACTCTGAATGTCTCTCAGGAGCAGAAGTCGAGAGATACTCATATCTCCATGGCCACTAGCTGGGGATTTGCACTAACTTGGTGGACCTGGACAGGTCAATCTCTTTTTCTGTTGGAGTTAGTTTGGCTCCCACTGCTGAAGTGGTGACACATGCATACAGAGCATGCAGTGCTGGGCAAATGGGGTCCAGGTCTGCTTCTGTGATGAAACCAATCCTAACTGTGATCCCCCCGCTCAGGCACACTGCATGAAGGCACAGTGCACAGAGCTTTAAGCCTTGCCAGCCAAGTAGACCAAAACCCAGGGAAAAGAGTGCAGGCAAAAGAAAAGGAGGGCCCAAAAAACAGTAAAGGGTCAAAGCTTCCTGTGACAATCTCAATGGTTCAGGGGACAACATGAAGCTGAGGGGTTCTGAGCAGTGTCTGCCACAGATCAGGGAGTGGATATGAGAGAAAAAAAAAAAAAAAAAAAAGGAGGAAGCTGATGGCAGAGTAGCGGGAGTGTTGTGGGCTGCTTGGGGGAAGGAAGGAAAATGGCAGATTGAACCTGGGAAGCAAGAAGAACAGGTGAGACCACTGGACAACCTCAGGAATGGATACCAGGCTTTTGGATTGTGGAATTGGTGTTAAGTCTGCCTAAACCTCTCCCTTTCCATCCTGCCTGGATGCAAGAAGCTAGACACCTCTTGGGTAAGAGATCTGGCTGCCAGATTGCACCCATGTGGGATGGGCAGAAGGCCATCCGTGGTGCTAGCAGCCCTCTGATCCTATGAGCTTTGCAGGCTTAAGTCGGTGGGGAAGACAGCAGTGACCTCAGTGGATGCAGAGTCACCAAATCTGAGCAGCTGCTTCCAATTAGCAGATAGCTCAGCACAGGGGCTGGCGCGGCTGGTCCAGGCCCAGCCTGTGTAATGTGAGCCAGACTGCCCTGCTCCCCCTCTGTCCCTCCCACCCCTGGGCACTGAGCTCCCTAGTAACAAATGGCAGCAGAAGCCTTGTCAGAAAATTGTCACTATGAGAAACTGACCTAGGGTCCAGAGCCATAGCAAGGAGTCTAATGGGAAAGGCAGATAAAATGGGGTGGCCTGACATAAACAAAAGAGTCTCCTATCCCGGGGCTAACAGACCAGGAATCCAGGAGAGCCAGGCTTATGCTTAGGAGAGAAGCCACATTTAGCAAATACGAGAAGGAATTATGGAAGGAGCACTAGAAGCCTTCCTGCCTGCCTGGTGCTAGCACTTCCCACCCTCCTACCTCATGTCAGCCATACTGGCCGCAGTGAAGAACCTGGAAAGATGGCACCCACTGTGCATGCCACAACCAGATGTCAGAGCCATTGCTACACAAAAGCCCCATCAAAGCTACAGATGTCACTGATGCAGCACCCAGAGCCTCACATGAGAGGCCATGACTCATATATAATGATGTTTTTGAGACACCAGTTCAGTTCAAGAAGGATGAAGAAGCCTATTTCAGCCTTGCTGAGCTCCAGTTGCTGTCCTGGAACATATCCTTCTCTTCCGCCTTCACAGAGGTTTCTCCTCTCCAAAGAGTTTTGGAATATCTGTCCTTCAAGCCAGGTTCATCTCGGTCCTGCCTTCAGTACATCCCTACATGAATCACTCACTTTCAAACTCTACTTAGTCTGGCAAGACCTACAACCCTCTCCTGGCCTCCTGTCCCTCCTAGCAGCACTGACCTGGCTCCCAGGACCAGCACCTCAATGCCGTCCCCTCTGTCTCCCAGCCTGTCCACAGCCTCCTTTTCCTCCAGTGTCAGCCCCAAGCAGTGCCTTGGGTCATGCTCTCATGAGGGCATGGTCAAGCTTCACTGTATCCCTGTGCATCCCAATTCTGTGCCTGGCCAAAGATTCCTACAGGCTGCCTTGTCTCTGAAAACACTCCCCCCATCACAAAAAGAAAGAAGCACCAACAAAAGTTCTTCACTATCCAGTCCCCAACACTTGGATCCAACAGCAATTCATTGTGGTGCCACCCCCACCACCCTGGGTGCCCATCAGAGAGGTCACCCCTGCTCTCTGTCCCTCCGGGCTCTGTCCCTCAGGACTCAGCATTTGGGACTCCCTGGCCATCGAGGCCCTTCTTCGGACGGGGGGGAGGGGAGTCCGCCCAGACACCCCAGCGGCTGCAGAACTCCCGTGCTCGGAGCTCCCTGTCCCTCGGGCTCCATAGACGACGAGGCCCCCTGGACACCGGCGCTCCCTCGTCCTGCGCTCAGCTCCTGTCCCGGCCCTTCCCGGGGGCCCCGCCAGCCCCG